GGAATCGGGGAGAAACCTGATCATGAAATGAGACTTCCAAGCTGATAACGTATAGACTGATGGACATGGGGAATTCAAACCGGGGAAGGGGGGGGGGAGATTTGAAATCCAAAGGCTGTGTAACTATTTTTTGAATTTTCCTATATCTCTTATTTTCTATTTCTTTACATAACTTACGCATGTTATTTTACTTTGATCGGACGTGTTTAAAACAAGGGAATTTGTGGAAGGAACTGGGGTGGATCTTGGGGAAAATCTTTTCTCTTTTTTTGTTAATGATGTGGGACGGTGGTAAGATTTGTACAATTCAATCTGGATAGTGGGTTAAACAAATTAAGCTCTAAATTGGGAGTGAGAGCTTGTAGAACCAAATTAAGGAAAGGGGAATACAATTGGGGGGGGGGAGGGGGGGAGTCCCAGAAAGTAGGGAATGAAAGTAAGGTTTTTAAATATCTTTTTCTTAAAGGAGACCCTTTGAAATGAATGGGCCTGAATCAGTATTGTCAATTAATTTTAGTGGGTCTAAAATGAGTAGAAGGAACATTGGCTACAACCCAAAGTCACTTACCCAGCTGGTAAATATAGACAATGTTCTTGCACAAAATGATTGACTATTCATACATATTGACATTTCCAATTGTAGTAATTCTCTGGAATATTTGTTTCCAACCCAACCCTTTAAAAAGTGACTTAAAGACAATGTATTATCTTGACTTGTCTGCTTCCTCAAAACTTCCAGTAATTTCATCAGAAACCATAGGAAAAGCCTTGGTTGTGGTTTGTGGCGAGTCTGAAAAGAGCTAAACCATAAGCCCTAGATTCAGAAAACCTGCTACACTACACTATGACACAGTGTCATGGCACACAACAACAAAACAACTAAGGAAGAGCAAAACAGCCACAATTTCCTCTCCAGTAGGCCTTCACGTTTCCTTGTTCACACCAAGCCATGGGTGGGGTTTTTTTTGGGGGGGGGGGAGTAGCTGCTTATACATTTCAGAGGCCTAAACTAGAAAACCTAAGTTCAAGTATCTAAAATAATTAACCTTCAAAGAAAGAAAGAAAGAAAGAAAGAAAGAAAGAAAGAAAGAAAGAAAAATTAAAGGTTATTAAATCTTAAGAAAAGATTGTAAAACTTCTTTCAAATTTCACATAAGAAGTATTACTCCAACTGTACCTCGTACTTTTTATATAGCAAAACACTCTTACCTCAATTAGCTTTCTTTCATAAGCATTTGCCAGTTCTTCGTGGTTTTCTACTTGTTTTTGCTCAGGAATGGCAAACTCACTATCTGTGCTCCAAAGGTTTGGTAACACTGAAAGAGAAAAACAAAATGCACAGCGCTAATTTAACTCGGGATTTTAAAAAAAACCCCAATCCTTTCTAGAACTTCAGGCACTTTAGGCCCAAAACCACCACTGGACCTCAGAACTGGTTTGCGTGAGCCACCAAGCCCGCTGGGCTCACATAACACAGAGACGACTCAGCTCTGTGTCCAGGAAACCGGACACAAACAGGCATGTAAAGCAAAAAGTGAGAAGGAATTAGCGATGGGGATCATTGTGCCCATTCCGTTGGCCAAAGTGCCAGGCAGATTTTGCACCTGTCCCCAGGTCTGTCTCACAATTTGTAGTACCTGTTGCTGAATGCTCACAGTAGGCAGCTGATCAGCTGTATGGGACAGGATTGGACCCTCTGGATTTATGTGCAGCAAGGTTGCCTCACCATCTTTAATACCTGCTGGTATGGTATTTATATTCTCATGTACAATCTACAGAATTATAGTAAAGCAAAAACACTGGATATTGCCTTAATAGTTATTGCTCCAAAACATAACAAAGTAAGAAGCCACATACTGAGCACTGACAGGCCATTCAAGGAAACCAATTTTTTTTAATAAAAAAAAAAATCAGTGCAGTTTTAAAATTAATGGCTGAAATGGGTGGTTAAAATCCATCCAGTCTGCCATCTTGATTCAAAATTGTGTCCAGTTGTATCCAAGCCTAGGTGAAAACTTGCTCCTTGATCTCAGAAGCCATAATGTAACATTTGATTATGGTATCTTAAAAGGTGTTGAAATATACACTGTACAGTGGTACCTCAGGTTACATACGCTTCAGGTTACATACGCTTCAGGTTACAGACTCCGCTAACCCAGAAATAGTGCTTCAGGTTAAGAACTTTGCTTCAGGATGAGAACAGAAATCGTGCTCTGGCGGCGCGGCGGCAGCAGGAGGCCCCATTAGCTAAAATGGTGCTTCAGGTTAAGAACAGTTTCAGGTTAAGAATGGACCTCCGGAATGAATTAGGTACTTAACCCAAGGTACCACTGTATAGCGAACAAACAACTTTCCAAAGGTAGATAAAGGCCAGGATTCAAGAACTTACTTGGTTAGTTTATAACTAGCTTTTAAAAACTATGTTCATTTAATCATTATGAGGATATTCCATATTTTAATCAAACCATTATTACACTGTTGGGAGCATTTCCCACACTCCCTATTTTTTTTAACAACATAGTTTGTTTGTTTTTCCTGCTGCAGTAAGTAAGCACATTTAAAATAACCTCCAGATCTGTTTCTGGAACTAAACGCCGTAAAATAATCTACAAGTAGTTTACTGAGCACAACTTGTACAGGGATCACTGAGCAAAGTACTTTGGAAAGAAGATGCTGCATAAATCATACACACAATCCTAAAGAAAGCATTAGAAGAAAGCTATCTAAAGGGCTGTCACATGGGGGATGGAACAAGCTTGTTTTCTCCTCTTCTCGAGGCTAAGACCCGAACCAATGTAGTATGGCAGGCCCTATGGACTCCTTGCCAATTGAAGTTGGGCAAGAGCAGGAGCGTAGGAAGGGGGGCGGGGGGTGGACCGCCCCAGGTGCCCTTACTGAGGGGGTTGACATTTGGCGCACCGCCCGCCCACAACTCCCAAGCCTACCCGCTTGGGGTAAGGGGGGGAGCTGTGCCGCTTTGCCAGTGGCATTTCCCTCTTCCCCCTTCGTTTTGACAGCTCGGGGAAGGCTTGGGAGTCGCGGGTGGGTGGCGGCTGAATGTCCACCATTGGCGGTTCGCTCCGCCCCTGTGGGTGGCTCGCTCCGTCCCCGGCTGCTCCGGGCTGCTCCGGGCATTTGAGTGGCTATCCCGCGCCTGGGAGGGTACCCTCCATGCCATGCCCCCCTCGAGAGCGCACCTGCCCTGGGCAGCGTGAGCATACGCTCCGCCGCTGGGCAAGAGTCACCCCCTGCTTTCTCTTAAGACATCTTTTTCAACAAATGTACCATATTTTTCGCCCTATAGGACGCACTTTTTCCCCTCCAAAAATGAAGGGGAAATGTCTGTGCGTCCTATGGGGCGAACGCAGGCTTTCGCTGAAGCCTGGAGAGCGAGAGGGGTCCGTGCGCACCAACCCCTCTCGCTCTCCAGGCTTCGCGCACCTCTCCGTAAGCAGTGGGAGCCCAGTGCTGAGCTCAGCGCGTCCAGGAGCCAGCGCTGGGCTCCCACGGCTTGCAGAGAGCTGCCTGTTTGGGGGCTGGGGTCGGGGGAAGCTCGGGCTTCCCCTGCACCAGCCCTGCGCCTGGGGGGGGAATATTTTTTTCCCCTTTATTTCCCCCCCAAAAAACTAGGTTTATGGGACGGTGCGTCCTATAGGGCGAAAAATACGGTAGTTACTTTTGTTTTCCAATACACAAAAAGCAGTAACAAAGAAGAAACAGAAGAGATCAAAGCAATAGTGGCGATTTTAATTGCATTGTTCAAACAGGGCTTTGGAACAGTGATTTGTTGCCATTTTTTAATTAATTTATTATTATTTCCTCCAAGGAGCTCAAAGTGGTGTACAGTGGTACCTCAGGTTACAGACGCTTCAGGTTACAGACTCCGCTAACCCAGAAATAGTACCTCGGGTTAAGAACTTTACCTCAGGATGAGAACAGAAATCGCGCGGCTGCGGTGCGGCAGCAGCCCCCATTAGCTAAAGTGGTACCTCAGGTTAAGAACAGTTTCAGTTTAAGAACGGACCTCCAGAACAAATTAAGTTCTTAACCCAAGGTACCACTGTATGTGGTTCTTCCTCTCCATTTTATCCTCAAAAACAACCCTTTGAGGTAGGCTAGGCTGAGAGTAAGTTGCCAGCCCAAAGTCACCTAGTGCGCTTTCTGGTTGAGTAGGAATTCTTCCAGGTCATAGTCCAACATTCTAACCGCTACATTACACTAGCTCTTAATTCTTATTGATGCACCTTTGATGTATTAACTGAAGTTATGCTTGTAGCATAGTGTTTTGACACTGCACGCTGCCTGGTTGTATGCTCCACGAAATATTTAAATCAATAAATCGCAAGAGCAGGAACGTTATACTTAGGTGGTATTAGAGAGCTCGCAAAACCTTTAAATGAAATTGCTAAAGAAGGGGGTGCAGGAGCACATTCCTATGGAGAAGGCGAAAAGGCAAGTGGTCGATACATCCATCGGAGTGCCCAGAGGAGGCTGAGATCTGGGGCTCTGATCCGCCTCCTCACACACACAGCCTGTTTCTGTGTTGTTCAGAATCAGCTGTCAGCAGCCGAGAAGCCGCAACCCTGTACATATTTATTCTGGAGTTAAGTCCGATTGAGCACCACAGGAATTAACTTCCAAGTAAACATAACACGGATTATTCCTGTACATTACGAATCTTGTTTATTTGTGTAGCCAGAGCCATCACACACAAAAACCGAACCTGCATGTTTGAAGTCTTACTGAGTGAAGTGGCATGAGTCAAAGGAAACAATATGGACAAGGCAAAGTAAGGGGGAATATTGAGAGGCATGTTGGGGAGTGAACAGGGAACTTTATTATCATCAAAGAATCAGATTCATTATGCTTTTTTATCCCAAAATGAACCCTTTCAACCCTTAATCCATTCATGACTATCCGGGGGGGGGGGGGGTCTAGCTTTCCAGTTTTTAAATTACCAGCTTCAACCTTAGAAAGCTATAGGGAAGCTATGGGAGAGGGCTGTAGCTTAGTGGTAGAACATACACCTTACAGGCAGACGGTCCTGGGTTCAATTCCCGGCAAATCCAGCTAAAGGCTAGGAGAGACTCACTGCCTGAAACCCCAGAAAGCTGCTTCCAGATAGTGAAGACAATATGGAGCAGGGACAATATGGAGTGAGAAGTTTTCTGATGTGCAAAAGGTGTCAAAATCCTGGTGGAACAAGGGCCATTGGACGTTCCTGGCTCTGCTTCAACTCATGACTTGTGGGCTGCTGCCATTTTCAGCCCTATCAAATAGAACTGGGAGCAAGAAAATGTTTGGGAAGCCCTGAACCACGGCAAGTCTTTACTTCCTTGATTATATTACTTGGTGTTTGTTGGGAGATATAGATGTAGATATAGATACACACAAACATACACACATACACACACATATACACATACATATATATATATATATACACACACACACACACGCACACACACTCTTTTCATTTGATTAAGCAGTATATTTGGGGAGGGTGGGTGGATTCTCACTGAACTTATCTCATCTCACATTATTTCCAGCAGTCATGGAAGCAAGATGGGATGAAAGCAAATGAAAACACTCCCAGCGACAGTGCTGTTCAATAGCACAATTCTATTGTGTTTCTGTAAGCTGCCATGGGGATCCTTCTGGACTAAAAAGCAGGGAGGAAATCAAACGGAATAAAACACAATTAAATAAAACAAGAAGGGGATACTTGCCAAAAAATCTCCTGCAGGAAATGGCCAGCAGACTGAAAAGCCCTTCCAGCTCATTCAGCCGCATATTAAAACACCCAGGACAAATGTACCAATAGCAAAAGTACATCAGAACTATATAAGGAGACTCCCAGACCCTGGGCTCAAAGAGGCTGTAAGTCTGTCATAATACAGCCGTTTGTTTGTTTGTTTGTTTGTTTGTTTGTTTGCTTGTTTGCTTCCCACCTTTCCCCCAGAACCAGGTGGATTACAAAAATTAAAACACACAGCGCTAAAACACAGAAAGCTACGAACATATAAAATATAATAGCTAAGAAGTAATTAAAATATAATGGAATTAAAGTGAAGTAAAAACCAAATCATGAGAAGGGAAGATTCCCTGGAAAAGACCCTGATGTTGGGAAAGATTGAGGGCACAAAGAGAAGGGGATGACAAAGGACGGGATGGTTGGACAGTGTTCTCGAAGCTACCAACATGAGTTTGACCAAACTGCAGGAGGCAGTGGAAGACAGGAGTGCCTGGCGTGCTCTGGTCCATGGGGTCACGAAGAGTCGGACACGACTAAACAACAACAACAAAAACCCAAATCTATCACTGCATAGGTAGTAGATATTCAAGAGAGTAAAAAAAACAGCAGCAGCAGCACAACACATTTAAAAGGCCTTTCCTTAAAGAGCAAAAGCCTATTGGAATAAACCAGTTTTTACCTTATATAGGACATTATCTAGGACAAGACTAAAAAGCAGACTGGGGGAAGGAAAGAGAAATGCCCCCTTTTAAAATCAAATAAACTGAGTCTGAGAAATGTGGTTGAAAATGCGTAGCAGCAAACGAGCAAAACAGAGAGTTAGATCCAGGCTAAGTTAGCTAAACTTGGATCTTATTGAAATTCAATGCGAAGTGTTAGTCATGGTTACGTCAAGTCCCATTGATTTCTGATGGGAAGCAAGTCCAACTAACCCAGTCCAGATCCAACCCATATGGGACGAAGAAACAGACGAATCCATAAAAAGTGAGAGCTGTTGTTTTTTGTGATTATTTAAGCAAACTACCCTTATCAAAATAGCCCCTTTGCCACAGACCTTCAGCCAGAGAGTTTGGCGTTTGCCAAGCTCAGCAAGCAGTCAAACTGCTTACAAGCGTCATAGGCAGATACAAAGCAAATGAAGTCGGAGCAGAAGGAGGAAGAGGGAAATCAAAGAGCTTGAATGGAGCCTTTGATCAGAGAACTTCAATCGGCCCAATAAATAAAAGCATTAATAGGCGGCTGCTGAGTTTGTAACAACAGGGAATCCCAAATCCCACTGCCCTCCACTCCTAGTATTCACAGTATAAAATTGTGGTTTTTTCCCTGTCGCCACTCCCCAATCACACAAGAATCCCATAAGTCTCATATTCTACATGCCCCAACACTAGAAGTTTCTGGAAATAAAGGCATCCAAAGTCTGAGTGGACCACTGGAAATGTAACCCTGCTGCTGAAATGGGAGGTTGTGTGAGTTATTTTTGGTTTTATTTATTTTTGGATTATTTAAAATAATTGTTTTTTTGCTGATTTTGCTTATTGGTTGTTGTTTAGTCATTTAGTCATGTCTGATTCTTCGTGACCCCATGGACCAGAGCACGCCAGGCACTCCTGTCTTCCACTGCCTCCCGCAGTTTGGTCAGACTCATGCTGGTAGTTTCGAGAACAATATCCAACCATCTTGTCCTCTGTCGTCCCCTTCTCCTTGTGCCCTCCATCTTTCGCAACATCAGGGTCTTTTCCAGGGAGTCTTCTCTTCGATTTTGCTTATAGTTTTATCCTTTTTGTAAGCCACTGAGGGGTGTTTTTGCAATCAAGCAGAAGGTATATAGATATAGATAGATATAGACTAGCAGGGAGTGCCCAGTACTGGCCAGGTATTTTTAGAAATCAGAAAATACCGTGATTTTTAAATGGATAGTGTGGTGAGTTTGGACCAGTCACCCATCTGATGGAGTCAATCCAAAGCCAGGTTTCAGTCTGCCATCTTGACTCAGAATGGCAACCTGGCACCCCAATATCAACGAGGGCTTCCACTCCCACCTTGGGAATCCTTGCGCTGAGTTTGGAACTGGTATCTTGAGAGGTGGCCAAACCGATGCCAAAAAATGAGTGAGGGTCTGGAAGGAAGCAAGAGGGACAGCATCGGACATGTGTTCTGGGAGAGAGTTCAAGGCACAAAGGGAGGAAGGGTAGTGGTGGTGAAGGAGGAGACCTTCATCTAGCCAAGATTTAGGAAAGGGGCATACTTAATTTCAGAATTGAATGGAAAAGGGGCCAAGGGATATAAGATCGCTTCACAAACAAGACTTCATTTTCTTTTTTCCATTTTGATTCATTGCTTGCATTCCGTATTCTAAAAATGATCGAAAGCATTGGCTATAGAAATGTTGGGTTAGCTTTGCCACGGCGAAGGAGAGGGGAATATTTTTCACCCGAGGGGCAGCAAAGGTGGACAGAAAAACAGGTGTGACTCATACAGCAGGTTACATTCTGGTCAAGGATAAGACCTGTGCTTCTACACACACACACACACACACACACACACACACACACACCCCTCCAAGCAAGCAAGAGCTCAAGAACGTGATCTAGCCAGGCAAAAGCACTCAAGAAGGCCCCAAGCTTGTGAGAGGTATGGCCTGGAAATTGTCAATGTGGTATGGAGAGTGGATGTAGACGGAGTACTAAGCGCCAAACAGAAAGGCCTGGAGGGGCAGACTCGGTTCTCAAGCCTGAGGCTCACCACTCCTGCCCTAGCAGAAAGTGCTTTAATAAGACAGGGCAATATAGGCTTCACCCTTCCTGCTGTAGACAAAGTCTCAGGGGCAGAATGAGGGGTGGGGCAATGGATTAAATGTACAGGGAAGACTGACCCCCTCAAAAAATAGCATATCTTGTCTACTCTACCCACAAATGGTGGATTCCTCATTTAAGGCAAACCCACTGGACATGACTCAGTGCTATCAGTTCTGAACTCGCTGGGGGAAACAGATCTGGAGGCCTTGATGATGATGATGATGATGATGATGATTGTTATTGTTATAGTCCAGGACTCTGTTGTGTCCCTTGAACACCAGCTGAACACCAGTTTTATCATCATAAAAACATGAAAAATAATTTCTCCTACCATTTACCTTATTGTACACCCTCAAGGGGGTGGGAAAAGCCACAAAATCATTTCAACTAATTAGACAAATGGTAGCAATATTTACACGAGCCTACCTCCAACAAGGGCTACACCAAGGTTAGGTAACTGTTGAGTTTCAGGAAGTGTTGCTTTGGCTAATGGAAATTAAATGGTAACCTCATTTTAAGAGCATGTCAAAACCACTTCGCAATGCAAAGAGAAATGATCAAAAGGTTTCTGTCACTAAGAGGAGCAGCCTGCAATTACTTGGGTGAGCACATTGCTTTGCTTTTTTTTTAAAAAAAAAGTTGATTTGCTAAAATATTCTCTCATCTGGCCAGAATTCCACTGAAGTTGAACAGGGGTCTTATTTAATAGAGATGGTTCTCAATTGCCCTGTAGATGACACACGTAGCAAAAGATATATCCAATTGGCATGAACTAAATTGGCATGAACTACACTTCGTTGCTGCAAATGCAGGCTGAAAAATAGCTTCTATATGCAGTGAAACATTAAGGCAGATGTGTTAATGGCCATGGCTCCTTCTGAATCCTCTGATCCAGGCCAGGAACAGGAAACACATGAGGACATGGACTCAAAGTTGGGCAGGGAATGAGACTATGCAGCAGAGCTAGCTTGATGAAGCCCTCCTCTGCTCTCGGAGCTGACAAGGTGAGAGACCCAAGCCCTTCCCATCCCTTGGAGGATGAGAGGGAAAATCTTAGGTGCAGCCATCTGTGACACACTGGGAGAGACTGGGGGAAGAAGAGGTGCAACCAGCAAGAACTCCCAGAGAGATGTGGTGCATCAAGAGAAGGGGAGAATCTTTCCCCCCACTCCCCAGATAAGTGCCTGTCTTCAGGTCAGGAATTGATGAAGGCACACAACTTCTTGTGAGTAGCTGAGCCTTCTCTGCTCCTGTTTAAATACTTGGTTAGAAGGCAGGGAAACTTGTTAGAACAACTGTCCGGTCTTGGAACTCTTGCTACCAATCCTGGACTAGGGCTGGGCAATTTATCGATATATCATCCAAAACCCGTTTGAAGTCCATATTGGTTTCATAATGTTTGACTTAGCAGTATATCATGAATCAGGATGTGTGTGTGTGTGTGTGCATCCACACTATGCAAAAATCATGATACGGGGAAAACCATGAAGCCAGCCAATGCCTCTACTTAGCTCCATCC